CTACACACATTTAGGATTCTATGAAAACCAACCTGAATGAAATAAGGATCTGAGGATTCTGACTGCCAGCTACATCCACCTGCCACAAAGCAGTTCAAGAATTATATCTCAATAAACACTGAGGGAAATTTTTTTATATTTCTATCTAAGTACATGTTAAGAGAGTCTGTCATACATATTTACACATAATGAAAGTAAACACGAATGCTCACCAGCAGTCAGTATGAATCAGAATTCGTGTGATAATGACAACAAAGTGGAAAAAAGTATGACAAGATATAAAAGCAAAATAATTTGGGAAAACGAGTAATAATGAGTATGCAAATCAACTCATTTTGTGGTTTGAAGTAACTAGAAATGCAACATGATCCAAAAAGGAAAATATTAAGTTATTAAAATTGTACTACTTATGAATTTTGTTAGTACGCAGAACAATATAATGACAATTTATAATGAAAGAGAACCATAGAATAATCCTTGTACAAATAGAACGATATCATCTAGCCAGAAAAGTTGATGTATTTCCGAAACGAATTGTAATAAAGAATCAAAAAATCATCACCATCGTACACTAAAAACTAGGAAAATCTTGAATTTGGAAGCATAAAGGAAATTCTTTCAATGGGAACAGTTTATTTTGTAGATGATGTTCAGATTTCATTTTGTCACTTTATCCTGTGGTTTAAGATTGACTGCAGTAGTTTCGATAGTTTATGTGCTACACCTGTTCTGAACTGATTCAATAATATCGCTGTAATTTCCGACATATCTTTTATACACGGTAGGACGATCCATTTGTTAACTTCTATATTTCAGCTTTTTTGTTGATGAGTTGTATTGATATCGCTTGATGAAGCTGTGTGGATAGCTGTTCTTTTAAAACATAGTCGCTCGATACTTTTCTTAATTTTTCTGAGCTGTGTATCACAGTGTGTCTTCGCTCTTTTGAATAAATTTTTCAAGGAATTTGTGGTGATCGATATTCGATATTATCCTTATACTTCGTAATTTGTTCGTCCTGATAACTGTTACTCGATAATGCTGCAACGGTGTATAAATCAGAAGGCGAATACGAAGTGATGATTGCGTTTATTGTTGAATCACGCACAGATATCCAAAATTACAGGCACGTTAAGCAAGCATGAAAGAGTAGTGCCGTAAAGCAAGCGAGTGATCGAGTCAATAAACGAGTGTGTGAGTCAACGAATCAGTGAACAGGATCAAGATGTACATATGTATACATAGTGGAATGAATGAAGCATCGAATCAGTTAAGCGATTAATAGTAAGCCTAGTAAAATGAATATATGAGTGGGCAGTAAACAATGCTCAAGCGTACACAATAAAGGTACAATAGTATAGATAGGTTGTTATTGTACGAATGACTCTGTCCGTTAAATAAGTTAACAAAAGTGCTTAATCAAATTAGATGTGAACAAACTCAATTGTACGTGAGCTGTTATAAATTAATTAGAGTTCTTGGGTTGTGGCTACAGTTGTTGAGAACTAGATCTGTGCGGGTTGACTTCTGATGTACTTGAGTTTCCAGTTTTCCAGTGTGGGCCCTGCTGATTAATACATCCAGGAATGATAGTTCATTATTCGACTCCTTTTCGATTGTGAACTGTATGTCATGGAAGACGTTGCTAACCAAACTGTAAGTAATTTCCAACTCGTTCTTTTTTGATGATAACGAATCTACATTTTCGGCTTGATCATTGGTAAGATCGAGGCTTCCAGTCTGTGCATCACAGATTCTGCAATAAGTCCTGATAGTGGTAATCCAATTGGTGTTCCCTTCCTCTGTTTGTACATTTTATTGCTGATATGAAAACATGTTACTAAACATAAATCGATGAGTTTTAGTGGACTATGATTTTAAAGTTGCGTGCACTTTGGGAGATTTGTGTTATTGGTCGCGAGAACGGATAAAGTTTCCTATGATAAGTTTGATTCAATTGAGGTGAATAGGGCTGTTATGTAGAAGGACATTTCTAGTTTGCCAGTGTTGATTTGAGTCTTTTTACCCTTATCTAAGAACTGTATGAGATTTAATGGAGTGATTGGATGAATCCATTGAGCTTTTTAATATCCTTGAAATTTCTCTCGACAAATTGTATGTTGGGGTTGTCTGGAGTGATACAATTGGACGTAGTGGGATGTTTGGTATATTTAGTTTCGACTTACCATAAGATCGAGGGAGTACTGGTCCACTAGATTTCATTCGCCAATGATGTTATTTTGATAATAGTCCTGTATTGACAAGCTTGTTTTAAGTCTTATGGAGTTGATTGTATCCACTGATTTATATACGCTCTTATTCTCAAGTATCTCCTCGGCTTTGCTGGTATATTCTTTCCTGTCCATAATCACTGTAGTGCGTGGACAAATATAGGAACAAGAATCAGATCAAAGGAAGATAAAATCAAAATGAAGATGCAGACAATAACAGGTTAAAGGTCAATAATAACCTATCAAGACCGAGGTAGGTAGGATAAGCTGTTAGTTATATGTGAAATTCAAACAATTCACTTCTGCCTGAAGTCTGTTCAGAATGACGATGAAGACTCTTAGACTAAATCATCCAGCCTAGAGAACAAAAATCCAGGAAAAGAAATACCTTTTCGACAGTTATGTCGTTTTGTTGAACATAAATGAATTGAATACTACATTAAATATTACAACAACCAACCATTAAATGGGCTTCTAAATAAGCGTTAACGTAGCTTAAGTGTGGCGCACTTGACTTTTGTTAGGGAGATCACAAGGTTACTCAAATTTTGTTATAAATGCTAAAATTATGCTGGAAACGAAAACTGTAAGTGTTATTTTTCTAATTCAATTTTCAGCATGAATTTCATATTTTTCTGATCGGTCAACATCACTCTTAGTTCGCTGAATTTCTGTATCACTGACGGCCATGTTTTTGCTACTTTATAGATAGTGTTGTACCACTCGATTCTGCTTAGTTTGTTCTGCTCCAAATATAAAATATTCCTGCTATTAGTCTTCTCCGTGTGTTAGCGGACAAGTACTGTGTGCTAGTAGCTGTTATCGCTTTATGAAATAGAACAAGTTATTTTTGAGTAGCTCAATCGTTTACAATTTCTCAATAATTGTAGACTCGTACTGAACACTGAAAACCGAGATATAACAGCTTCCAAACATTAGGCTTCCAGTTTGAACGCTGCTGTTACTACTCTCATTTCAGCATTTGAGTAGTGTATGATGTTCTTACGAAATACAAGCAACTCAGAGTCTTGAAAATGCATACCGGTTATTGAGTTGGATTAATGGTTTCTGTAATCTGACAGTCATTCATTGAGTCATGGAGAGGGAATACAAGCCCTACATGTCAATAACTATTAGTTGTCACCACCTTTACCGAAATTTATTTTTATATCGCGATTTTGAAGTAGAAAATTGTAGAATTTTTCATTGAACATAATTGCCAATCAGTGATGGATTGTTATTTACGTGCGAATACTAAATGACACGCACTAGATCTTTTACACCTGGATACTGGCATTGGAAAACATTGTTGTTTCATACGATTACGAGTCACCTAGTCTAAGAACGGAACAAAGACTGTGACGAAAGACCAATGAGCTATCTATTCTGACGCGTCCCAGCCCCTTTAACTAGAGAGAGAAGTCAAAGTTCGAAGTGGGAAAAATAAATTCCGCAAGCAGCCAGAAGCACGAGCAATCACAACAGACACAAATCCAACGTATATATGCAGCATAAAATTGTCCTTGGGAAGCGTTACAAAATAGCATACTAAAAGATACAACGAACCAATAGCGTTTACGACCCTCCCAAGTGGGAAATGCGACATGAAGGCGGAAATGAGCGCTTTTGGCGCGAAAACAAGAAATTCAAGTTTTTAAAATAAAATTACAAAAATAAGGCATTTACCAATTGAGTTCTGGGGATCAAACGTAAGACAGGAAAAAGAGACATGAAGAGAATCTGTATTTTAAGATTGCTGTATGATGTAAAGGTGCACGAGTATATCTCGGGATTATTTCCAAAAATATATCAAATTTGCCAGAAATCATAGTGTAGAAAGCCATTGAGGAAAATGATTGCTGTTATTACTGTTATATTTTCTCCCTATTACGACCCAGCTATTCTTATTGTTTGGTATTCTTGAATACCAATACACTCGACAAGTCCCCAAATCAGAACACGGTTGAACAGGGAAGAAATTATATTCCGAGTAACAAGGATAGACGGAAGTAAGAAGCGCAATAAGAAATAAGTTAGTAAATTTATAGTTTTTACATGCGAATATTTTAGAGTCTTCTCCAAGCATCGGCTAGCGCTGATTGGGTGAGAATCAGCCAATCAGCGTGCAGCAACACAGTCGTGCATGGAACATGCTTTAATCCTATCTAAGTTCCGCTAACATTTGTTTTCGGTTCTACATGATTCTAACGGTAGTAATTCATCTATTTATTTTCATTAAAACAACTTTAAAATGTTAACATGTTTATAAGCAGAGATGTATGGTGGCAAGCAGTGGAATCCAGAACTCGCGTCTTGTCCTATTTGGGACTCGTCATCTGCATGTACCTGCATTCCAAAGTTAATGTTCACTCTGAGACTTGAACCCAGTACTGCTCACTTCTAACGCCGTTGCGAACGGTACTGCGTTTGAGTCCCAGAGTGAACATCAACTCTGGAGTCCAGGTACATCCAGATGACGAGTCCCAAATAGGACAAGACGTGAGTTCTGGATTCCACTGCCGGCCACCATACATCTCTGCTTATAATCCCTGTGATCCAAGGTGATATCGAAGCAATCTGCACAGGATGAACATATACCGATAAGAAGATCCAAACAACCAATACAGAAATGGATTGTTATGTTTTCCTACATTTTCAGAGTGATGCCGATTCGCATACGACAATTACTATGAAACTAACTTAACGATTTGTATATTTGAAAATGAGGGAAAGTAAACAAATCATCTATCAACGTAAAAAAGAGCTTACGGTAGACGCTGACCACGATGTAGCGTTTAGATATCCGCTTCGTGTGAGCGAATTCTCCCAACTACCCAGATGCATAGAAATTCGATGCAGAAGGTCGATGTAATCGCATGGTAGAAAATAATGCCAACGTAACAGAAATACTACTAAACCAGTTAAGAAACAATGCTGGAGACACCACCAATAATCAATATATAAGTGTTCATTCTGTAATATAACAGACAATAATAAAAATATATTGACTCGGAATAATATATTAGTCTATTGAAGATAAACTACACAAATTAGAAATCAGAGTTTGAGACCGGTCTTTACGAATTTGTGAGTCTGGCTTTGAAAACTAACAGAGTTCTGTTCGAGTTATGTATGCATTTATCATGTTTTCACGCTTCCCGGAATAACTCTACACGCACTGTAGGTCAACGACCAATACGTATCGTGACAAAAAGAGTGCATCCTATCCGTTGGATAAATCTATACATATAAATCATTCGGTAGACAAGTGCGCGTGTGAAATTTATTAGCATCTCAAAAGCCCTTAAAAATATAAGCCAAGGGAAGAGTAAGGGAACATAACCACTTCTCTGTACTGTTCCACACAAGTAGTAAGATTAAGAACTGCATTGTCTTATCTAGTCATTTCCCTAACTTTGCAACCGACAAAAATGAGGAAGAACAAAATCCAGACGGAAGTGATGGTATTAATCTGCTAATCAGATAGACGTTTCGAGGTACAGGCAATATCGTTATATTGCACTAAACAAATGACAATCAGTGCTTGTTAGTATGGAATGTATTCGAGCAAACGAAATGCAGAGCACCGCTATAAGATTTACAGGACCTAGAGTTTGCGATCGAGAAGTTCTTGCAACTGGAGTAAGTGTGAGTGATAAAAAATGTAGCAGATAATAGTAAGGCGAAAGACTGAGTGGATTGTGATGTGTGACACCCTTAGGACTATCGCAGAGTCTGTTGGGTTATAAAATGTTCGGTTTGCAGCACTATGATGCTAAAAGTTATGACCAGGTACCTGTGAAATGTCTTTTACGAGTTATGACATATAGGCAAATAGAATTTTCAAGAAATGATATTTTTGTCTGAAATGTGCATACCTGAACAAAAATAATTGGCAGAAAGCATCCATAATAAACTGCATGTAAGGTACCAATTAAAATATCCACTAGCCTTGCATTAAAATCACGTCTATACAGTTCAACTTCCTCACGTATTTGTTCAGGTGTTGCACCTAAACACTGATGATTCATTAAATAATTATTTGAAACTAAGTCACTTGTATAATAGATGGTTTGAAATGATGGATGATCAGTTGATGCATGGAGTTGTCTTGAAGGAACAAATGTATATGGTGTTGGGAAAAACATGTTTTCGGAAGGTAAACATGGCCAGTCCGTAATGATTGTGAGACATCGCCAACAGGACGATGAAAACAGCTGTATTAGTTAGATTCACAAGAAGAGAGTAACTTATGGAAAACGACAAAAATCATTTCCAGAGGTCTAATTATACTTAGATAATGATTAAAAAACATTTCAATATGAAGTTAAGAATGACCATAGGAAAATTGTGCAATTCATAATATCTTATATCCGTTGAACAATTATCCATGTGAAAAACTGAAGATATAAAGAGGAGAACTCAACAGACTGGAATCCCATGACTATGGTAATTCAGATGCACCCATCAGTGAGAAATTGAGTAATTGGATCATTTACTTGGTGAAGTGGACAGTCTACATATTCACCGACCGGATTATTTATATATTATTTAATGTATATATTGTTTTTGCATACATATAAATACAGGTACAACTGGGTGGAGGTTACCGAGATGAGACTCGTAGTACACATAAAAACCGCACATATAAGCTACCTGATAGGGTAAGCCAATCAGAAGTAGCCAAACAAGATCAACTGGTGGCAATCAGAAGTGATCTGAAGGACAAGTGAATATCATTGGCTAAGAGATAGATTGATTTCCTAGGGGCTAGAGATGTTTATATATATAAGAGTACTTGTGCATTTTATTCGGCAGCCCAATATATTTTACCGTCAACTTTTGTGTTCTCGCTCAAGTGGTAAGGTAGGGGTTATCGCGTAGCACATCGTGTATCAGTATCAGATTCCAAACACCGCCTATCATAACAACAACAGTCTTTCAAGATGGTAAAATCATTTCAATTACCGTAAATGTGTCCCAACACACATTGCTCAACCTCACCATTGATTAACATAGTGTTGTCACTGGACCTCAACAATCCTCCAGGGACAACAATGATCAGACATAAAGAGTCACCAGAGATTCTCAACTCGAAGGCCGGGCTTCAGAAGCAAAGAGTAAAAATGTTATCACCGATGCGTTGTAAATTTGACCTAGTAGTTAGTATTGTTCATTAGGTAAATATAACTTCCTACCTAACCTGTCTTACATAAAGTAAAACTGGTTGAATGTTAGAAAAGTGAGATGATGACCGAATCACATCACAGAGCAGATTCGACCCAGACACAATACTATATCATCACAAGGTTTCACATTTCCAACCTGATTATCAATGAGTGCTCTCAGCCAGTATGTCACACATGTCCATACTATCTTAGTTGTTGATAATTTAAAGTAAGATTTCAGATATCAGAGTTGATGTTCACTGTGGGACTCGAACCCAGTACCTCCAGCCGACGAGTACCGAATAGAACGAAACGTGCGTCCTGGATTCCACTGCTAGTCACTATCCATCTTTGCTTATAAAGCTTGTAACTTTAGGCAATATCGAGGCAATACGCACAGTATGCACATATTCAAATAAGATAATGATCAATTTCAGTCCTAAACATCAATGGGAAGATTCTAACAAACAATACCAAGTGAATTCGAATAAATCATTTGTTAAATTAATACTCTACAACTGATAATGACAGGTCAGAATGAAATCACTGATGATAACAACAAAAAAGAATAGACAAAAAGGTACAAACTGGTAATCTGTATATACCTGTAGACAATTTGTTAAACCGAAAATAGACGGTTGATATACCATCCTTGAATTACTATCAGTACTATCCGGGTGATGATGACGAATGTCTTGGCAAACGACTTTCTCCAAATAACGAGAATGGTAAACTAGGATAGTCAGTATGGGACTAAAATAAATGATACAAAGTAATTAGGATAAATGATTAATATGTAAGTAATTCTGATTACAATTAATTTCGAATGTTTGATAAAGGAATACATAAAAAATAAATTTCGAATTAGTGATATGTGGTGTTGCCAAACAATCGAAAACTAAATATTTACGTCCAGAATGATACTAATGATACTAATAGACACCATAACAAGACCCATGTAAATAAAATGAGACTATGAGGAGATAAAGGTGGATATTGTAAAATCGAAAAAAAAATGACTAGAAATAAACACATAGGAACCACACCAGTTAAAAAACATATTCAGGAAGGACTATTTCAATTAAAGAAATCCCTCTCACTTTTACAAAGAACATGAAAGAAAAATACAGCAAGATGGCTACTACCTACTATTGTGAGCCATCTGTGATAACATCTCAAGCCACTGAGTCGCATCGTCTCTAGGACCCCAACGACAATCCTACGCAACTTCATTTCATACTCCGGCACTATATCGTAAACTGACCACTTCTCCTCCTTTTCTACACAGTCCTTGTGTTGGCAATTAATGGATGATGTGCAACTCACTGGGACGATATTCATAATACACGTCCAAGTCGCCAAAACAAGTCTTTCAAAATGATAAAATTATTTCAATTATCGTAAATGTGTCCCAATACACATTGCTCAACCTCACCATTGATTAACATGGTGTTGTCACTGGACGTCAACAGTCCTTCAGGGACAACAACGATCAGATATAAAGAGTCACCAGAGATTCTCAACTCGAAGGACGGGCTTCAATGGCATTGAGTAGGGATCCTCTAACCAACGTATTGTACACTACCTTTCACAGCCAGATTAACATCACGACAGCGCCAAAGATAGTCTAGATTGATATGTCCCTTTCTGACTTTTATTATATGTATATTAGACTGTTCATTCATAAGCTCGAGTTCCTTGTAAACCTCCACCTCATCAGGTGGATCAGTTTACATCGAACAGGAAATAATTGACAGTCTGATCGATGATGCTGAGGTGATAGACCACATTAACACTGCTCCTTGAATAGCTTTGTCCATCGTCCGAAACGCTTCTGGATGCTATTTGTTGACTTTTCATCAATCTAATGGATTGTTTCAGTCAGAAAAGACTGCTTGCTGACAGTGGTTCAGGTGAGTAGTAATGGCTTCCGGAAGTTGCCAGATGCACCTAATGTTTTGAACTCGAATAGTTTATTTATTTATCTAAACACATAAATATTGGTACAAAGGGGCACCAGATATATATGCGCCACACAAATCCCATTTGATTTGTGTAAGGGCTGTGATACTGCCCGATGACTGCCCTAGTGACTACCCGAACCACTGCCCCCAATTGCCCTGGTACGGCCGAGAGTGGGGAAAGTACGCTCTCCCTCTCGAAATGCTCTCACATGGCCACGCGAATATATAGTCTCTGTAAGGAAAGTCCTACTCACTGTCTTCTCGTGGCATTACTGTTGTTTACGAAATTGAGAGGACGAAAAGCGAATGTCCAGCGCTTTAACCGGGTTGGTGGATGTGGAGTGTCCACCTAGGGGAGTTGGAAAACCCTCATTCCAAACAAATGGTGCACATGGGCTCCAGTATCCTGAAGGAACGAATGGCGTATGAAGCAACTGTTGGTCACCGGCTACCATGGGACTGCATCTCCTTACGATGCTCCACTGCCTTGTGGACTAGACATTTAGGTCAAAGGCTCCGGGTGTGGCCCCCTAAGAAAACCACCTGCTTCAGTCTGGGCACCTGGGCAGTATCACAGCCCTCACACAAATCAAATGAGATTTGTGAGGCGCATATGTATCTGGTGCTTCCTTGTACCAATATTTATGTGTTTAAATGAAATAAACCCTAACCACTATCCTCTCTGCCTAAAAGTGTGACCTGACAATGCAAATCAACATCTAACACTACAACATTTATCAAACGTACATTCTTGAAATCGTTTGACTGGTGGTAGAACTCATGTTTGATTACACTCAGGTTGCAGTCTGTTGTCTGATAGGCAGGAACTACGGACAGACATTGTTTCCCATGCCAGTTTGTTTTCATTTGAATGGGACTTCCTGATCCAGCTGTACATAAGTATACTGACTGAACAGCAATTTTCCCTATTTCACTTTATGTCAGTGGAGAGTGGGCTCTAAATATGTCCGACATTTGCACGTTACTAGTGTTTGAACATATGTATTTTGTAAGCATTAATCGCGTATGTTGGGGTAATGAAATGAGCAGTAGTGAGGTTGAGCGCTGAGTTTTATGCTGGGATATGAATAGTTTGAATATAGTTAAGGACAGTCGGATGAAACTTGTCATCAGTTAATGGAACCACTAACTGTTGGGCTGTGCTATGAAGCGCAGACTCAGTCAATCGCTCAGTGTCAACGTAGAACGTGATACGCATGTTCATCAGCCTAAGCGACCACACCCCGATGACACAGAGAGATTAAATTGTTAGGGCAAATTTATAAGTAGTGGAGGTGATAACAGTATCAATGGTAACAGAAAAGATTAGACTTCAAAAATACAACTCGAGAAAACATAAATTGGTAAAGTAAAAAAATTTGGGGGAAGACAAAAATGGATGCACCTGTGCCATTGCAAAAGCTTTTGAGCCATGTCATTCAAAATCTCTAACCGCTGGTTGCAATAATCACTCGGATACCAACCAGGTGATCTACATGTGTTAACACGGCTCAGTTCAATTGTCAATGACTTCGTAAAATGGTGCAATGTTATGGTCCGATCGCCCCTAGCTTTCTTTCAGCCTACTCCTACACCAGCCGACGTCTCCCGTCGGGGTAGGCGGTGGCTGAGCATGAGTTACAGATGTCCCAACCATCCCAATTGATGAAGATTTACTGCCTCATCAATCGACTGGCTATATTTACTTAGTGTCTTATTCCTAACCCAAGCATTGCCTACACGAACAATGCTTGGAATACTAGTAACCTACTAATATCTTCTATTCCTAATGGTCATTTTCCGCACCGATTAAGTAGAACAGAGAGAACTGCTGCGCAATGAACTTGTCATTTGGTTGTCAGACAGACATCTAGCCAACGTCGCAAGTGCAGACTACATATTTAGGATCCGGTTGATTATCGCGATTAACTGTTGGAGACTTTGGGGGACATGGCCCAGAATCGGTCATCATGGAGCAGATGAATCCACTCTATATCCTTATCTCGATCTTGATTTCTGGTATAGCTTAATACTTCCTATTGAATTCGCCATTTCGAACCGCATTCAGTATTGCTCATTATCACTGATACTACATTACATTGATCTCTCTTACAATTTATTTTGTTACTTTCATCTCTCCGTGCTAATATGTTATAGCAACTTGGACCAATACGCGTCTGTACCAGGCTTCGATGACTGATTTATACAGTTCTAATTATCTTAATTTAAGTATCAACATCTTTTTAAACACGACATAGAAAATTATTTCCTGACTTGCTAAATGTCCATAACCCTCAAGAAATAAGGCCTGCTACGCACATTTAGTAAGTAATAGTGAGAAGAATCTGTCAAACTGAAAAATATCAAATCTATGCAACCTTAACAGAGAAATTATTAGTAATAAACATGATATTTAAATAAGATCAAAACCTACAAATACGCCAGCAACACTATTCCGGATAGGTGATACAAGATTGTTGTCCCGGAATATTCTATCCGATTTAAAATCCAGATCATGATGTAGCCCCAGGAAGTAAAAATGAGTAAACCCAGGACTGAACGCATTATTAGTGATGTCATTATGAATGAAGGAATAAGCTTTTAAAAAACAAAAATATTTTATTGTATTTGTATATGTACGTAGAAACGAGATTAGGGGTAAAAACAATGAATTGTTAGAACTCACTATGATCCCATCCAATTTAATCCCTTAGTTTGAGGCCTCACTAGTGGACAGAGCTAGTCGGTACTAACTACACGTAGAACTAGATTAGGTGCGGCAATATATTGGACAGCAATTAATGTTAGTTTATCTAAAATATAGTGCTGATAAAACTCCATCAATGAATGTTTTAACACGATCGCCAAGTCTAATGATTTGGATTTGCACACAGAGATAGGAGGCAACTTTCGTAAAATTCTACTTCTTAGTACTCATCACCAAGGTTGATTTATTAACTACATAAAATCAATGGTGGTTGAAATGCGGCCTCAGGATACGACTAATGTTATAATCAGACATCTTTACTAGATTATTCAGGTACGTTTATACAGGCAATGCAATAAAACAATGTTTTCTACAACATTTGTTTATTTTTAGGTTTGTTAACAGATGCACTGAACAGTAACTGAAAGTAATTGTTCTTCAATAAACAGTTAGACACTAAATTCACTCTCAGAAACAAAGGATACTGACTAGATACTTAGGGAAAGAGAGCAACTGAAAAGAGCTTAAAGAAGTAATAAGTTGAATATACCAACGAGTTTTGGGTTCCATAAAACACCATCATGAACAAAGGATCTTCGTTCACAGCTCAGGCAAAATTCAACAAATGGAAAACAAGACGACGGAAGTCAACAGCCAAACCAGAACAGAGAAAATTCAGACACATGTTGAATATACACAGAATAAGCAAACAAACGAATGAAGAAAACCATTAGAGCCGACAAGAGGAAATAAGTAGAAGACCTGGCAACTTGAGCAGAAAAATCCGCAAGAGAATAAAAACAAAGTAATTTCATGGTTTAACCAAGAGTCTCTCACGGAAATATAGTAGACTCTATTGGACAGTCAGGAGAAAACAAGGTGAACCAATCAACAAGGTTTACGAGGAGAGGGACAGGTAGGTTGAGCAATTCAAATAGCTCTTGGATAAACCTTCGCCTCTGAACTTACCGGACATTGAAGTAACTCACACAGCCCTCCCTATAGATAGTAAGTCGCCAACAACAGAAGGAATTAACAGGACTGTCAGACAAAACAGCACCACCAACTTGCATATTGGATGAAGCGTTAAAGTCAGTTATAGACGCAGTTACAAAGATATTCCAATGTTTCTTCAAAAAGATTTTGGAGGAAGAACAATCGCCAAAAAGACTAGAAGGAGAGATACTGACGGAGACCTCAGCAAGTGTGAAAATTGCAGGAGTCGCCTTGATTTCACTGCCTGTGTAGATCATCACGATCAAATGGAACTACTGTTAGGGACTGAGTTACATATTCGTACATCTGGGGCAACTCATAGATCTATTACAGGTGAACACTGATGTGAGACAAGGTTTATCACTCTAGCCTTTAGTTTTCCTGGTAGCTGTTGAATGGATTATGTAAATCTATCTCTACATCCCAGGAAAAAGAACTGGACACAATAGGCAACTTGGACATAGTTAGGTGATTTGGAGTTCGAGGTCGTCTTAGCCCTAATATATGCACACACAAAAACAAATATCGATGAAGCAAACCAATGTAGCTGTGGTTTCCTCTAAAATAGTCCTGAAAATCCACAACAGAAGAAGCGAAATCCTGAAGTACAATACATCGAGCAACAAACAAATCACACTCGGTGGAGAAACTCTCGAAGAGGTGAGAGCCTTTACATACCTGGGTAGCGCATCTATAAATATGGTGAATCTGAAACTGATGTCCAGTTATGGATTGGCAAAGTAATGGTAGCATTAGATACAATTCAGTGGCATTCGGAACTCAAAGGAATAATCACTCAGATTCACAATCAGAATTTGCAATACTAGCGTTAAAACAGTTCTGTTGTACGGTGCTGAGACTTGGAGAACTACCACAACCATCACCAAAATAGTACAAGTATTTATAAACAGCTGTATAGACCAGATGCCCCCAAATGCCCTGGTACGGCCGAGAGTGGGGAAAGTACGCTCTCCCTCTCGAAATGCTCTCACATGGCCACGCGAATATATAGTCTCTGTAAGGAAAGTCCTACTCACTGTCTTCTCGTGGCATTACTGTTGTTTACGAAATTGAGAGGACGAAAAGCGAATGTCCAGCGCTTTAACCGGGTTGGTGGATGTGGAGTGTCCACCTAGGGGAGTTGGAAAACCCTCATTCCAAACAAATGGTGCACATGGGCTCCAGTATCCTGAAGGAACGAATGGCGTATGAAGCAACTGTTGGTCACCGGCTACCATGGGACTGCATCTCCTTACGATGCTCCACTGCCTTGTGGACTAGACATTTAGGTCAAAGGCTCCGGGTGTGGCCCCCTAAGAAAACCACCTGCTTCAGTCTGGGCACCTGGGCAGTATCACAGCCCTCACACAAATCAAATGAGATTTGTGAGGCGCATATTTATCTGGTGCTTCCTTGTACCAATATTTATGTGTTTGAATAATATAATAAATAAATATAGACAAGATACTCCGGCTGCATTGTCAGGAGATCGTCAGTAATAACCTACTGTGGCAGAGAACAAATCAAGAAAAAACGCTGGAGGTGGATGGAATACACATTGAGTAAGCTGTCGAACTGCATCATAGGACAAGTTTTATTTCGGAATCCTCAAGCAAGAAGGGAAAGTGGCAGACTGAACAACACATACAGTCGAGAATCAGACTTAGACAGCAACGACATAAACAGCACCACTTGCCAAAAGCTAGTTTAAATAGGAAGTAGTAGTACATAAACTCTAATAAAACGATTGATAAGGAAGAATATATGTCAACAACTGCTATGTTTCCGTTTGAGTTTCTTAGCATTCAGCACACTAATAATTTTTGTTTCTTATAATAACAGACGAGTATATACATTTAACATTCGTAATTATCCAGTCCAGAGAATTCCAATACACGATGTTTAGTTGAAAGATTTGTAGATTTGAAAAACAGGAGGCTCAAACGTATCATTTAAATTAGATGATAAAAAAAACATTCAGTCATCTATAAATTTGAATATAATTCTAGATAAGCATTAATCCACTGAAGTGGAAAAGAACGTACCTTAAGCACTATTAAATAGACATACGGAGTACACAGCATAAAGATGATATGGGCCGTAACAAAATAGTCGACTGAGTCAAATTCCTACAAATTGTAAAAGAACATTGTTAAACTTCACGTTGAACTACGTGAAAATTTTAATCTTGAATTGACGTCTGATCTAGGAATATTAGAAACCAAAAATTATTAAATATGCCCAGTTCTAGTTTTACAGACCTTAGCGATGGCCATTCTATATCATCGACTAATTGGAGGAGAATGTAAAATGTTGAGCTCCTATGGAACGGATGCGTGAAGTACTCGCCGCTAGAAATTAAGGTATAGTATCTGGTTTCGTACAGAAATGATAGTATATATATCTATGAACTACGAAAATACGGTTTTTTCAGATGATGTTAATTCATGATGACGGTGTACAATATGCAAAGTCCGTCAAAGTATCACAAATCATCTAGTGTGGTTGAGCAAACAGATCAAGATGATTACTCCTACTCGAGGGAAGTCCTACTCATTACCTCCTCGTGGCGGTGTTGTTTACAAAATTGAGAAGACGAAAAGCGAATTTCCGGTACTTTAACAGGGTTGGTTGATATGGAGGATCCACATTGGGGGGTCGGAAAACCATTATTCAAATCAATGGTGCGCATCGGCTCCAGGAACCTGAGCAGAACAAATCGTGTATGAACCAGTTGTTGGTCACCGTCTACCATGAGGCTGCATCTTTTTGCGTTGTTCTATTGCCTTGTGGATCGGACTTTAGGTCGAAGGCTCCGGGTGCGGCTCCTTATGAAAACCAAAGGCTTCGGTCTGGGCATCCGGAAAATATCATATCCTACACACAAATTAAGTGACTCGTGTGGCACATATTCGGTGCCCCTTTGTACCAATATTTATGTGTTCAAATAAATAGATAAAATAAGTGTTACAACTTCGCTCACTCAGTCGACACAGCACGTAACGTTGACGTGAATAAACTTTTTCAAGTTATCCACTTTATTCCATTAAATTTACCACATGGATTACAGGTTCGTCTTTTGTATAGTCCCTGAAGTTATCGCAATCCACATCCAGAAAACCAACCTCTGTACTCAAAAGTTTGTATAGGTATCGACAGAGAACAAAAAAGAAGAGCAAGCCTATTGTTATCAACCCTAAAACTGAACATTCAAATTTTTTACCAGGTATTTTTTTTTACCTAAGTTGGACTTCTTATCGATGATCCTATCAATTTTACTGTTGTTATTACTTAAACCCCATATCCTAATTCATTCATTGACCTATTAATGCCCTTGAATATTTGTCATCTATTCACCACATCCTACAATTGTTTTTCTAATCATTTGCAACTATTTTCATAAACAATTGAATTTGTAATATTATCTAACACCATCAACTGACCGATATATTTTATTGTTAAACTTATATATTAGTGTAGAGCCATGATGACAAACTAATAGAAAATAAATATTTCATTACTATATTCGTTATTTTACTGAAAATCTGAATGGGAACTTTCACACCTCTAAGTTTATTTATACATTTTTAACTTACTACAGGGTATTCGATTGACGAATTTGGCAACCACCACACAGTTCTATACAGATTCATATGCTGAGTTAATGTAGATGTTAAGCACAGCATTAAACTGAGAAAAAGAAATGATGTACGGGATAATTTTGGCACAACAGGAAATGTACAGTGCTTCACTAATGGTACTGACGATACCACCTGCTCACATGCTCTATAATAAGATACATCGGGAAAAGGACAACAGGAATTTATATTGGTACTCTTACCTTCGTGTATTGTTATTAACACCACCACCAATAGGTCCTAAACGTCCAGATGATCGTTTAATAGGCATAATATTTAAATCCAATTTAATCCCTTAACGTACAAGTCACATAGTGGGGCTAAGTAGGAAAATATACCAGGAAAATTGACTACAAACCCAATACATATATACGCAATGTAGTCAAAAGACAAACTAAGCAGAACAATGTGAAATTTGTTAGTAACAGTAAATATTAGCACACTAATGTAAAACAAAGTGAGGATAATACCTTTAAAAAAATAACTACTGGGTTACAGACTGGAAACAGATAATCTCAAATTCAGTTTCTACTTGGTGAATTCATTTGACCTTCAACAAGGAATGTATCAAACAGAAATGAAACATGGCAAAAGATAAAGACTAATCGTTCAAAGTGACTATTACAGACCTAGGACCATTCGATAAAATATCTTTAACTTCCCCCTTTATTTCATGACCATATCCATCATTTTAGCTTTTCACTTAATTTGATTATTCGAAGGTGGAGGGAAATGCTTTATTTACATTGTTTACTGAATTCACATAAAATTTCGTACAACTGGGCATTAAAATAGTACGAAATGAAGAGTCAATAATGCGGAGGAATAAACATAACACTTGTACAACCAGAAAAACTACGTGAACACAAAAGGACAGACACTTAAGTTAACAATACAAAACAAAGATTTATAACAGCGAAATTTCCTTTTTCAGAAATTCACAAAACCACTGCAGGATCTTCAGTAATTTTTGTTGTGAGCCTTCTGTGATAACATCTCAAGCCACTGAGTCGCATCGTCTCTAGGACCCCAACGACAATCCTACGCAACTTCATTTCATACTCCGGCACTATATCGTAAACTGACCACTTCTCCTCCTTTTCTACACAGTCCTTGTGTTGGCAATTAATGGATGATGTGCAACTCACTGGGACGATATTCATAATACACGTCCAAGTCGCCAAAACAAGTCTTTCAAAATGATAAAATTATTTCAATTATCGTAAATGTGTCCCAATACACATTGCTCAACCTCACCATTGATTAACATGGTGTTGTCACTGGACGTCAACAGTCCTTCAGGGACAACAACGATCAGATATAAAGAGTCACCAGAGATTCTCAACTCGAAGGACGGGCTTCAATGGCATTGAGTAGGGATCCTCTAACCAACGTATTGTACACTACCTTTCACAGCCAGATTAACATCACGACAGCGCCAAAGATAGTCTAGATTGATATGTCCCTTTCTGACTTTTATTATACGTATATTAGTCTATTCATTCACGTTACCACCATCACTCGGATAACTACCTAGATACACGGACATTTCAACTGATTCCAACGAATCAGCATTAAGAGTGGTTGCGAGCACAGGCTCCTGTCTGACTGGCAGAAGTACCTTGCACTTTGAATATGCATAGTGCATAGAATACCCACAGACAATGACTACCGATTAAGTGTAGATTACGTAGCATGATTTCCATTGCATAATAAGACAATATGCGGTAACAGATGCAAACTATCACTGTCTACTCCAGTCAGAGCTGTTTCATGAATGTCATTGACTATAAACTTGGAGAGGAGTAGTGAGTTTGGGTAACTACCTAATCGTAGTCTTGTTCTAAAACAGTTGGAGACCTATGGTGAGATTGAGTATCCCTGCCTAGACTCACGGTTGTAATGGAAAAGCAGAGAAATGATTATACACTACCACTGAATGAATGTTCCAGTCCCAATGGTAAAACCACTGGTGTACAGGTTCATCCAGCTAACGAGCCACAAATAGGACGGGACACATCCTGGATTCCACCGCTGACCGTAATTTAGTCGATAACTCCGACTTCACTCTCGAAAAGTTTTATGGATGGCACCACTAAAATGATTAAATAAATTGAAAATGAAGCCGTATATGGGTTGACTTAATATAAGTGATTCCGTTTTATTTAGACTCAAACTAAAGTACCATAAAATTTAACGCTTCAGGTCTATGTACTATGACATGAACTGGTATTCATGAGTACGAATATTGATCGTAATTCATCTCACTACTGTTCCTTTACTGATTTGGAGCGTATAACGTGAACACAAGAAATCTGAATATACTAAGCTCAGCCAGTCTTCAGTAATAAGGACAATAGGTTGGTGAAACTGTGTTAATCCTCACAGATTGTCTTCCAGCGAAGGTCCAGCTTCACTAATGGAGCTGATACCGCTTTTTCGGGTAAGGCGTTCCAGTCATTGACTACTCGATGAGAAAAACGGAACCCCACGTTAAATTTATTAGATCACGGTTTGTGGTCTTTCTTGCTATGACCTCGGAGATAATTAGTGCTGGAGGGAGCAAAAAGATAGGACATATTGACACCCGAATCGTAATTAAAGACACGAAATGCCAGTATAAGGTCACCTAGCGTCCTAAGATACGACAAGGGGAAAAGGTTTAGGAGTTTTAAAGGCTTATCGTAAGGGGGTTTCAGTCAATCAGTCAGTTACAACGTAGGACCAGGCACACATATGCATCGGTCCAAGTTGCCATACCTCGTTAGCACAACAAGATGAACACCGGATTAATAGAAGTAGTTAATTTAGTGGTGGTAATATATAAGAGAAAGGTCGTATATAAGGATATAGTACAGGAAGAAAGACAGATATGAAGCAATTTTAATCTCAAGAAATTAAGGGAAGATAAAGAGTGTATACACCTGCGCCGTTGTGATCGATTCTGAGCCATGTCATTCAGAATATTCAACCATTGGTTACGATAGTCACGAAGACCCCAACCGAGTAGTCTGAATCTACCAACATGGCTCAGACTAGAAGTTAGTGACTTCAAGCTCTGATGCCACGTTTAGAAAAACCATTCCCTTATTTCGTTTCCACACACTGAACACGTTCAATAGAGTTAGTATCCTCGATCAGACATGGGTTAGCTGCTTGGATACAATACTCTAAGTGTGGTCTTGCACAGGTGGGATATAATATTCGGAACATCTCATCAACGCATTTGAATACTCAGCGATGTGACCATAATGCACGACAACCTTTGGCAGAAACTGCGTGCAATGCGTAGTTGTTTTCAAGTCGTGACTTATTATTACTCCTAAGTCTTTATATTCTTAAACACGTGGAAGAGATATACCATAAAAAGTATGATAATAATTACAGCGTCCGATGTAGATTAACACACTAATTCCAGTATTAACTTCGAGGTCACAACGCGTTCGTCAGCTTGTAGATCAAAATGATCAGCCTCACTTATTGTTCTCCAGATTTTGACATCATCCGCAAACAATAATGTCGGCGACTTAAGCAATAGCAGTAATTCACTAACGTAGGGACCCTAAGATGGTGCCTTGGGGTACACCACTTTTGACCGTTTTCCAATCGGACAGCATTCCACTGACCCTCACTCTCCGTCTGTGGTCACATAAGAGGTTTCCTATCCATTCGTGTAAGTAATTGTTATTCCGAAGCGTAAGAGCTTCTGCGTAAGACCTAAGTGTGAAACCTTGTCAAACGCTTTGCCAAATTCTATGTATATCACATCGACAGACAGACCGTTATCTAGGGCTGTTGTCCAATCCTTTCTCGCAATAAGTTAGTGAAGCATGAACGATTGTTACGTATGCTAACATATATAATATCACAATAACCGTTTACAAGATTCTACGTAATAAGGTAGCGAATTTTTACTCCGATATTGCTAATCATTTATAAATGATTGTGATATATCACAATCCACACTTCATGAAACACTGATTAAAATTATAGCAACCAATAATATGGTTCAAATGGTTGAGGACGGAATAGAAGAAGCTTTCGCTTAACGGGCTTCCGTGTCTGGTAGCAGTGGATCACCAATACCTCCAGGCAAGAACCTAGGTATATGAACGATAATAGAGGGAAAAAAAGAATTTGGTAAATCATAATAATATGTTATCCTTAGTCCTTAAGAATAAGTCAAGTTTTCTCTTAAAGGACTCCTGGGAGGTCGCTTGGAATAGCTCAGTCGGCAGCGAATTCCAGCACTTGACAACTCTAACGGAGTAGAAGTTGTGTCTGCAGTCTGTTCTGCTATGTAGGGTCTCCAATTTCTGGGTGTTACCTCTGAGGTTAGTGTTATGACTAAGCTTAAGAAGTTGTTTAAGGGGATGACCAGAAGTATTAAGGATACTATAAGTCATAAGAAGATCACCTCTAAGACGCCTATACTCTAACGGGTAAAGGTTAAGTGATTTGAGGCGCTCTTCATAAGGTTTGAATTTGAGACCCCGAACTGATTTCGTGGCTCGACGTTGTATACGTTCCAGAGTGACCTTATCCTTTTGGAGGGAGGGAGGAAATACTATGTTTCCGTACTCTAAGTGGGGACGAATAAAACTGTTGAAGATTATGTGTAAGGTTCTACCGTCAAACTGGCCAAAAATGCGCTTCAATGTTATCAGTGCAAGGTTTGCTTGAGAGGCGTATTTGTCACAGTTCGCATACGATTTCAGGTCGTAGGGTACCAACACTCCTAAATCTTTTTCAACTTGGGAAACTCCTAGAGGTGAGTTACCTAAGTTATAACTATAGTCTGCAACATGTCTCAGATGGACTACCTTGCACTTTGAAGTGTTGAAGGTAAGTCCGTTGTCGTCTGCCCAACTTTGAAGTCGAATCAGATCCTCCTGCAGAACTAGTATATCATTGTCAGTACGTATCTCTCTCCAAAGTTTCACATCATCAGCAAAAAGCAATAAATCAGATGAAACTTGTTGAGGAAGATCGTTAATAGTACGCATATCCAAAAGTTAACAATATATATCATGTTAATATTCTGTTCTGATGATATTTTCAAGAGTCTTGTGACGAAAACTTTGTTACACAAACATAGTTTTAGAAGCACTGGTCTAAATCAGATCTACTTCCATGAATAACAACCTCAATGAAGACTGACGATAAACACTCTAGGTAAGAAATTGTGAGCAGATAATTATGCCTCATGCTAGTCAGGAGACGTGAAAAGTAAGCAATGGTCTTCCAGAAAACTTACCCATCCATACAAAAATACTGTAGCAAACTGAAAACTACGGCGAGACTATAGTTTACGGATGAACCAATCACGTATAAGACAAAAGGTCTCGGATTTCGGCGCGAAATTCACTCATCCATCTGAATAAATGGAGTTTTAGAATTGTAGTTGATGTCGGTTCGTGATGAAAACATGAAACCTAATTTCCAATCTTAATCACCAACTGCAAATCATAATTCTGATTCCTCACACAGGTTTATAACCCTCATTTGGTCCTGGTTGTTAGGTGGACACTCTCAAGGTCAATCTAGCGTCATACATAGGTCATGCATAAATTGTGGTCTCACCGTTTTAAGAGATTTTGGGCCAGAATCTGGAGAGCCCAGCGGAAAGAAAAAGGGATAGAACATAAATTAATGACATAGTCGACAGGAGGCTTCGGAGAACTTGAGTATATCCTAAAATCACTTCACTACTGGACAAAATATAGTGGGTAGTATACTGTCCGGTGACGGAAGAAAATTAGTCGACTTTCAAACGTCACTATGCTTTCCTGTCCACAACTCGGACATCCTAAATAACAGAGATGATTCAAGTGGTTTTGGACGGAATACAAGTAACTTTTGCTTAACGGACTCTCGTATCTAGTAGCAGTGGGTCACCGACGTCTCTAGGTAAGAACCTAGATACACCAACGACGAAAGAGGAAAAAGAAATAGTAAATCATATTGAAACACTGCCCTCATTTTCTAAGAATATGTCAAGTTTTCTCTCAAAGGACCTACGCGAAGCCGCATGGGTTAGCTAAGCCGAAAGCGAGTTCCAACACTTGACTACTCTTAAGGATTAAAAGATGTGTCCACAGTCCGTTCTTCTGTGTTGCGCCTCTAGTTTCTGGGTATTACTACCAAGGTTTGTGTTGAGACTAAGCTTGAGTAGGTGTTTACGTAATACCCTGAAGTGTTTAAGATGCTAGAAGTCACTAGAAGGACACATCTAAAAAGCCTATAATACAACGAGTTAAATTTCAGTTATTTGAACTGCAAATTTGAGACTTCAAACTGATTTCGCGGCTCGCTGTTGGATATATTCCAATATATCCTTACTCTTTTAGAGCAAGTGAAGAAATACTATGTTTCTGTACTATAAATTGGGATGAATAAAACTGTTGAATATTATATTCGGAAAGTTCTTCCGTCGAACTGGCCGAAAATACTCTTCAACTTTACCAATGCAAACTTTGCTGGAAAAGGATAAAAGAGGCAGTCATTTCAACATGTCAGGAGGTTCTGGGCCACAAGAAGCACCATCGAAAGGAATGGATCACCGTTGGTACACTGGATAAGATTGAAGAAAGAAGGAACAAAAAGGCAGCGATCAATATCAGCCGAACAAGAGCAGAAAACGCCAAGGCACAGGCCGAACATACAGAAGCAAACAAGAAGGTGAAGAGAAGCATCAGAGCCGAAAAACTTAAATATGTGGAAGATTTAGCAATGACAGCGGAAAAGGCTGCAAGAGAAGGAAACATGAGACAATTGTATTATACAACAAAGAAACTCATCATACGAAACTCCTATGATGGACTAAACTGCCAATTCGTCCACGGAGGACAACTCACCGACTCGTTTCAAGTAAAGACCGGTGTTAGGCAAGGTTGCTTACTCTCACCCTTTCTCTTTCTCCTGGTCATCGACTGGATCATGAAGACGTCAACATCTGGAGGAAATTACGGGATACAGTGGACAGGCAGGATGCAACTTAACGATCTAGACTCCGCGGATGATCTGGCTCTTCTATCACAAACGCAACAACAAGTGCGGGAGAAAACGACCAATGTAGCATCAGCCTCAGCAGCAGTAGGTCTCAATATAAACAAAGAGAAAAGCAAGACTCTCCGATACGATTTAGCATGCACCAATCGAATCACATTTGACGGAGAAAATGTTTATATATAAAAAAAGGAAAAAAAGAAAAGAAGAAGAGTAATGATGGAGGGAACTGAAATGTACAACCAGAAGAGCTCTCTCAGTTAAGAAAGTTATAGCCATTCTTTATGAAGAAAGTAAAAGAAGGTTACAGCAGGATCGCCACTGGCTTCTATTCTGAGTCAAATCTGATATCGTCTCTAGCCACTGTGTTACACCATCACTCGGACCCCAGCCAGGAAGTTGTGAAGGTCCAACAGAAGCTAGCCTTTTGCAGCTTTCTTTCATGCGACGAAACCACGTCATACACTGACCTCCTCTCCGCTTTTTCCAACCAGTCCCAGAGTCGGTAAATAATGCACGACGTGGAAGCCTCTGGGACGACATTCGTAAAACATGTCCAAGCCACCGAAGTCGGTGTTTCAAGATGGTGACACCAATTGAATTATGGTAACTGCGCCCAACACACGATGCCGAACCTCTGCATTACTAACATGGTGTTGCCACTGGATGTCAGCAATCCTTCGGAGACAACGATGATCGAACACAGAGAGACGTCTAACATCCTCAACTCGGAGAGGCCAGGTTTCACAAGCATAGGGCAAAACTGCTCTCACCGACGCGTTGTAGATCCGACCTTTTACAGCCAGACTAACATCACGAGGGCGCCAAAGATGGCCCAGATTGGCATAAGCCGCTCTGGCTTTCATTATACGTGCATCAATCTCATCACTCATGCCACCACCAGCACTTATATAGCTACCTAGATGCACGAACTTCTCAACTACTTCAATCTGCTCATCATCTAGGGTGAGTACAGAATGAGAATCCTGTCAGACTTGTAGAAGCACTTTGCACTTCACAGGTGCAAAGCACATGCCGTACCTGCGGACACTGATTGCAAACTTATTAAGTGCGGATTGCATGGCTTGGGTATTATCGCACAGTAATACAATATCATCCGCATACTCGAGGTCGAGAAGTCGTTCTCCAGGCAACATATCCACACCGCCATTACTTACATCCATCAGAGCTGTTTCCAGGATGTCGTCGATGGCAAAGTTGAAGAGGAATGGTGAGATCGGGCAACCCTGCCTAACCCCACTGCTCGAATAGAACAAGGAAGAAAGGTGGTTGTATGCCCTCACTCTGCCTGGGGTGTTCGTATACAGGGTCTTTAAGATGTTAATGAACTTCTCAGGCACAGCCTTCTTCAATAGACAATCCCAGAGAACAGTCCTGTCCAACGAATCGAAGGCAGCCCTGATATCATGAAACACTTCGATTGTTGGCCTGTGATAAGTATGACGGTGTTCTAACATTTGGCGGAGGGTGAAGATGTGATCAATGCATTTTCGACCAGAACGAAAACCAGCCTGCTCCTCGCGTGTCAATCGTTCTCGGGTTTTAAACAACCTACGAAGAATGACAGAACTAGACGTTTCCCATGATAGTTGTTACAGGAACAACGTGAACCCTTTTTAAAGATAGGGACGACTACCGACTCATTCCATGATGTTGGAACACTTTCTTGCTCCCAAACCTTTGCAAACAACACAGTCAATTCTTTGGCGAGAAAGTCACCATCATCTTTAAAAAGAGCCGGAGGTAAGTCATCTGAGCCCGGTGTTTTGTAGCGTTTCAAGAGTTGGAAATCCTTGTGGACTTCCGCCTCGTTTGGTGGATCAGTCGTCACCGGCCATGGAGGGCAGTACAAACTGGTTGATGTTGCCGGAGCAGCAGGCCAGTTGAACTGCCCTTCGAAAAATTCCGCCCATCGTCCAAGACGTCGACAGATGTTAGTGATTGGCACCCGGTCATCCACGTTGATTGTTTCACTCACACCAGACTTCTTGCTGCCAGTGGCTCGGATGAGTTGGAAGAGCTTCCGGCAGTTACCAGATGCAGCTGCTGCTTCCATCTCATTAGCACGCTCCGACCACCAGTCTTCTCGGTCCTTACGCAAGCTTTGCCCGATTTCATTACGTAACAGCCTTCGTTTGTGGTCAAACTCACGGTCACCCGGAGTAGACCGACGGGCTTCCATCAGTTGTAAGGAGCCAGAAGAAACCCAGTGCTTGTAAGCGGGACGCTTCGCGAAGCCGCAAGCGGCTTTACTCGCCATTTTCATGGCGTCGTGAAGATGCAACCAATGCTCATCTACACTTTTCGGTGGGATGGTAGCTAGCTTAGAGGCTAGCTCCGCTCGATACTTACTTGCAACAGGTGTTGCAGCCAGTTTAATAACATCGATCCGTTGGTGGTGGTCAATCCTTCGGCCACTGAAAAGTAAGGTGAGATTGGCGCAGACCAGGGCATGATCAGACTCCAGATAGGTACTCCAGAAGGAGCGGCAGTGTTGTACACAACAACGCCAGCGGTAGCTGATCGCGATGTGATCAATCTGAGTCCAGGCTTGGGATGCAGAGGGAGGACGCCAGGTGGCACACCGGCGATGACTGTGCCGGAACAGAACAGAGTTTCCACCATGAGCGAGCTGCTGCATAAGTTGAAAAGTAGGGTTACACAAATTGGGGATAAAAGGGGGTGAATTAGCGATATGGTAAATAATAAAAGTGATGATGCAAATTGTTTTGTTTCTAGTATGAGCGAGAATAGAATTGTCAGTTGGATGCGTCATTTCATTTATTTGCGTGAGGGCTGTGATACTGCTCGGGTTCCCAAACCGAAGCAGATATGTAGATATGAGGGCGCGGGTCGGCAAATGGAGAGCAGTATATTTACAAATTAAGAACATCTGGAACTCAAAACAACTGTCTGTCAACCAACATCAAGATCAGAATTTTCAATACAAATGTCAAGACAGTTCTACTGTATGGGGCGGAGACTTGGATAACTACTAAAGCCACCACCCACAAGATACAGGTGTTTATTAACAGTTTTCTACGCAAGACACTTCCGATCCAATGGCCAGACACTATCAGCAACATTCTACTGTGGGAGACAACAAACTAGATTCCAGTGGAGGAAGAAGTCAGGAAGAAGCGCTGGAAGTGGATAGAACACACAATGAGGAAATCACCCAACTGCGTCCCAAGACAAGCCCCCACATAGAATCCCGAAGTCCAAAGGAGAAGAGG